AAATGTATTTTAAAAATAAAATGGAGAACTATAACGGAAATTAAATTGAAATTTTGTGTCTTATAAATATAAAGAAATATTGTCATCTTGTCATACTTAAAGATATATTGCGAAAAAAAAAATTGCTATAATTTTCAAATTCATTAAATATATATAAAAAAGGTCGACTCAAAATAATCTAATAAATATATTAATCTAATTATCCCTACGAAGCTTATTAATCATAATCAAAACAATGGACCCGATAAAATATAATTTAAGTTCAAACTAATTTATAAATTAATCAGTAAAGCAGTATTTTCAAAATTTGGTGATCTGTTTAAAGATGTTGTACTGCTTTGTGTAGATTATGAGTCATTTACACTAGTCAATGGCTTATTCGCTAACTCAGCTGACAGCTTAAAGGGCTATAAGGGCTCTCATCTCATTGGTCAGTATTACAATCATAGACCGATGAAATCAAGGAAAAGATATACCGCACGACGTAAACACTCCTTTATATCAGAGCGACAATAGAAGAAGGTAGAAGTAGAGTAATTTATTTACATACCTACTAGCCATGCTTGTCATAGCGTAAAGAGATATAAGCAAAGAAAACAAATAAATAGATTTTATCTGGACAACAGCTAAAGATTCAAACCGGACAGTCTAGCATCTTTTATCAACGAATCTTGGCTACTTTGGCCACATAGCTCGGAGGCAACAAGATAATCTAGATAAACTTGTCGTGGTAGGCAAAGTAAATGGAAAAAGAGCAGGAGAGCGACCAACGACCCGCTGGTTTGACTACGCGAGCGGTGATGCAGCTCACTATAACAGAAGCGACAAGCTGATGACAGGAAGGCGTGGCAGCAGCTGTATTCCTGTACCAAAATATTTCAGAACCTGCCGAAATGAAGGGTGCGACTAAGAAGAGAGTTTCCTCGTTAATGCAACCAATTATTTCACTGCTAAAATGTTTACTGAAGTCTCAAGAGAGAATCTCGGAGACTGATGTAATGTCCGATTCCTCAGCTATGTCATCTAGTAGGACTTAGCTTTATTGTCTTAGGTGAATAATTACACCGTCATGCATCGAGCATGTGTGACTCTAAATTCGCAATGATTTACCCGAAGGCTATACAAAATGCGGATGCTATACATACAGCAGGGAATGCTCCACACTCAGCCCTCGATCAAAGCCTAGATCATTTTTTTCGCCACCCTCACAACAGCTGGGCTTAGCCTTAATTAGATTCTCGACGTCGTCGGTCTACCTAACGGTAGTGCTGCTAAAAGAATATTTTTGTATATGAGTGTACGTACAATCGATGAAAGAAGTCGAATTGAAGATAGCCAAAAGAATATTCGTTCCTGAAGGTATCGCACTGAAGATAAATTCAGTGTAGTTTCTAGATACGTATTCCATTCAGACATAAAGCAAGTTGACTTTGTTGATAGCAATGAAGGTTCTGCCGCTATCAATACTAGGTTAAAAAAATGTCTTGACACAAGAGATGGGTCCCATTGAAAGATATTCGAACTTCACGCTACAACTTTTGATATGTAGCTTTTGCGATCTCGACGTTTTTTGAAATATATTCAATGAACGATATCGATAATTTGACGTTAATTGGAATTGACAAAGCGATTAATGCTTGAAAGCTAATAAAAAATGTCGAACGAAAGAGTTGGACGATAATTGCAATCATTCAAATTATCGCTCGTTCTCAAAGCGGTTGAGACTTTAAACGTTTGTAATTCCATAAATCCATAAAGAGTCAATAAGCCCACTGTTGTAGCAAATACCATCTATTACAAATGCATCTGGAAGAACAAACTTGACCCTCAATATACAAAAGAACGTGATTCCCATCTGAGAAAAGACAAAATGATTCACGTGCTCACTTAATTCAAGAACATCATCATCAGCCCCGTTACTTCCCCATTGCAGAGGCTCTGGCATTCCATATGGATGTTTAGGGAGGATGGAGCATAATCCATTACGCAGCGCCCAATACAGATTGTAGGGAATTAACGACTGCAAATGCTGCCGGGACTGACGTGACCCATCCTGTGACTGACCCTTGAGAAAATAACTTAACAATAACGATCATAGGCCGCGGCGATTATCGACTACGCCACCCAGCCACTCGAGCTATTAAAGAACGTCAATTTCAAATAAGGTCACAGCCAGGAATTAGATGCTAAGCTATCAGAAATCTACGAAGCAAATAAAGTATCAGTCTTGGTTGTACTCCCAAATATTTTCAAATCGGACTTCCCTGAATAAAATCAGAGAGAAAAAACAGCTCTTGCTGCTTTGATGTTTCTTGGCGGTTCTTCTCAGTACAAGTCTCCCGCTGTAAATTTGCAACCGATGGCATAGCTTTAGACTTTTACAAATTCTTGTTAAAGCCTAGATTGAAAACAGAAAAATAAAAACGATGGATTGAAAGCTCTTGAAGAGAAATTAAAAGTACTCAGCTCTAGAGTAGGCAATAAAATTTACACCACTGAAGTCGGTGTGTACCTCTCCAAGTACAAGATTGAAAACACATTTGACCGAAAATCTGTACTTGAAAATATTGGTACTAAAATATTGTTTGATCCTACTAAGGTGGTATCAAACAAGAAAGTAACGAATCACCTCAGATGGTAAGGCCAAGAGACAAACATCTGACGACATGACCAGAAAAATTATTATAAGTAAATAAATGAAAACTCGAAATAGATAATTTGATATTTATACATAGTTTATAATAAAATATCTCCCTTTGATCTAAACATAGAGAATGATTCAAGAAGGCGGCTTAAATTTATAATACAGGACCACGCCGGCAAAGCCGCTGGCGGCTAGTAATAAATAAAGTCAGAATTATATAGCTATAAGAGAAATGTAAAAACAAACTTTTCTATGTAAACAAAAATGTCAATAAAAACAATTAATGTATTGTAAGGTTCTATTTTATAAATTTAATAAATGATGAATTATGAGTGGTAGTGCGTATAAGGATATTCCACAATTCTAGTCGTAAAAGCAATGAAAGAGATGAATGTGAGAAAGAATCAGTATGTGAAATGGAAATACGAGAAACAGCACCAGCGAGAATTTGAATGAAAGAAAAACTGTATTAAGAACGACCTGCTTCTGAGGCGTATGAAAAGATAGAACACATGACGAGATACTTGGCGTGAATGAGCAACATACAGGATGATGGAACGACGATGATTGGAAAGTGACTTCATAGCCTAATGAAGTTGCTTTACAATAGGAATTCTCTGTATTTAATAAAACGGAAAATGGGAACCCTTGCTAAGTTTCTCCGGTTCTTTTCAGTACAAAATCTCCCGACGTGGATCTGCAAGCCGACATATATAAGCTTATGACAGACTAAATAAACGATATTGAATTTGAATGACATCTTAGATGAAAGGGGCTCATAAATAAAAACTTAAAAGATGCCCAAATACCCAATAAGTCCCAAAATATAACATCCTGATGACAGCATATTAGGAGAGCTGACCCAAGTAGATGGGAAAAGGCTAGAAGAAAGAATGCTAGGCTTGAAAAGCTTCACACAATAAAACACTAAATGTTAAGTTAGTAATGCTATTCAGAAGGCGTTCATCGAATTAAATGACGATGAAGCTGAGACTGTAGCATATGAATTTGGTGTTAAGCTGCCGAGTTTAGCGACCCAACTTGAAATAGAATTTCTACTTCTAAATGAGACATAAAAAAACAATTTACTCATCGGAATCCTGGTACAACCGAAACGAAAATAAAAGAATATCACATAACATATTTCAATTATATAAATATGAGGTTCTATATAAAAAAAGGAATATAAAATTTGTACATTGTGAACAAGAGGAGTTAAAAGCTGAAAAGGGGCGTTTTGAAATTTTTTCACCACTTGCAAATTGATAATTAGAATTGAGTCCATTGTTTGATTATAAATATTTATGTAATTGACTCCTTATTTTTTTTTACATAATTATTTAAAAAAGGCAAACCTGACTGACTCATATATCAATGCACAGCTGAAACTACTTTCATAATGTAAGTGAGCACTAAGAAAGGAGTTTTAGAATTTTAAATCAAAGTTTAAATCGACCACGCGGGTGAAATCGCTGGCGGAAAGTTTGTTTAATCAATACGATAGACAATAGACGCTTGTCTAATAAGTAATATGTTTCAAAATTATTAAATCAAATATTAGATCTCATAACCGCAAATAATTGAAATTCTAAACTAAGTAGTGATAGTCCCTAGCGGAAGAAACAGAAAAAAAAATATTTAGAAAAATTTTACAGTAAAAAAGTATCACATCAAATTCTAAAGTAATTCATTTTTTAACATTTATTTTCACACGCCTTCTAAATGCGAAAAACAAGGATATCTAAATTTAGTATTCTATAAAACTCTTTTTCAATGCAGTTGCTCATAAAGCGCTATTTTTTTAATCCATTGTAAACACCGAAAGTGAGTCTTTAAACACGTGTTAAATAAAAATGTACTGAAATCCTTTACTGCACAAAAGTGCTTAAAAGTATTTTTTAACTGTTTTTTTTTTTGGCCGAGCACCAAAAAAATTAAAAAAGAAACTTGAGCGTATTCGTACCATGAAATTTGGCCCTTATTCGTAAAACCTTACTTTCCGCACTCGTATCTTAAATAACTATAAAAAAATGTAAGCGTTAAATGACGTCATGTATAGTAAGTATTATATGATGTTTTCGCCAGTCTAGAACAGAAAATTATTATTTACATATGTAAAAGAAATTCATACTGTTTCTTTATAAATGCAAAGGACTTTTGCGTTGCTGCTATGATGTTATTCAATAGTCTGCAAAAACAAGCGATAAAGAGATACGAAATAACAATGATTTCATTTTACAGGAAACGCAAATAACGAATCACGCCTTGTTTTTCAGTTGGCTGTAATATATTGTTTATATTAATGTATTAACTTTTGATTTTTTTATCATCAAACAAGTTTTTTTTTTCATGTTTTCTCACCGTTTAAACCTTTCAAAACAAAAACAGCTAAGTTATGAAGTAACTCGGAATTTTTATAAAACTTTTTTATTTAAAGTATCAAAATTAAAATAAGAAGTCAATTAGATAAATATTGAAAATAATCTAAAACTATATCATCATAAATCATTTATCCGATGGACATTAAAGCAGTCGTTTTTTTACAAAAAGTGTCGTGTTTTATCACTTTTTAAAGTTATGATCTTTTGCAGTGCATTCAAATTTGCTGCAAAGACACGTTTCGACACCTAGTTAATCACAATCTTAGTTGTAAACAATTAAAAAATATTAAAAAAAACTGTGAATAAATAATTAAGCTTTTTGAGCGTATCCCATTTGGCAAATTGTCATGGTTTCTTTGCAATTACATAACATATAAAAATAGTGCATTTTTAAAATCAGAATAAAGAAAATATTGAATAGTTGTGTCAAAAAAGTTTTTACTGAAAAATATATATTGGAGCCAATTTGTATTCAGAACAACTGGAATATTTTTTTTTTAATTCTACTTGCAAAGAATCCGTAGACGCATAGCCTCCAAGGAGTTATATACAAAAAAAAGAATAGAATTTAATAATAACAGTTCAATGTTTTCTCGGCACTAGGTATAGACTGAACGTGTCTTTAGGTAACGCAACACAAGCCGGCTTCTGTCTTAAATCTTCAACATTCTCAGCTGCTACATCAAACTCTTGCATTATGCTGGCGAACATAACAAAACTCATTGTAGTTACTAAAGTCTGACCAATGCAGGTCCTCTTACCAATGCTGAACGGAAGGAAATGTGGTATATTCTTCTTAACAGACACCACCTCTCTTTCTATTTCCTTCAATTTATCTATCGGTCCCGTTCTCTCCCCGTCCGATTCCATACCAGAATCGCAAAGGGAATTCCTTCGCACTCTAATTTTCGTTTTCTCTAGGAACCTGGACGGGTCGAATTTCTCAGGCTCCTTCCAATATTGCTCAGATGTATTTAACTCGTAGTTATTTATGAACACAACTGTACCTTTTTCAACCCCATAACCTGATACCACAGCATTTTCAGTAGCAACATGTGGTACGATAGGAGAAGATGCATACCTGAGACATTCCAGAATTGTAGCTTCAGTATAAGGTAAGCTACTCCTATCAGAGAGTGTAATAGCTCTCTTCCCCTTAGTATGCCCATCGATTTCAGCTTTAATTTTCTTTGCAACCTCAGGATCTCTAGCTACTGCAGCTAAACAAAGCATAACTAAATTGCCGACAGAAGAATGACCTCCTAAGAAATCTTCAAGCATAAATATTATAGTATTTCTATCAACGCTAGGATCGTCATGTAAAACTCTGAGAAGACCATCAAGAAAATCTTTTTCAGGACCTTCAACATCTAAACACATCTCTCTCTGCTCGACTATTCTAGATAAAATGAAATTACGTATATCCTGTGACCAGCCGGAGAGTTTGTTCATGTGCTTCTTGTACAAGGGCTCTAACCAAGGCAGGAAATCGACAGCATAACCTTGGTTTATCTCCCAGAATATCTCGTCGAAGTGGTCGACTATTTTTCTAAATTCCTCGTCATTCTCGGCGTCGAATCTCACGTTGCACATGTAGTGGGAGAACATATTCATTGCTGTGGACATTAAGATTGGTTTTAGATTGATACTGCTCTCTGTGGTGTTCGCTATCGATTTCAATGTTTGCACCATGTCTATGGCTTCGAATGTGGCTACACTGCCTATTCTAGCGAAGTTATCTGTATGTTGTTTTGGTCCACAGTGACGTCTTGCCATATTTCGGCGGCGCGTTTGAAGGTTAGACCAATCGCAGAGAGCGAGAGCTGGGAACAAAAAAAAAATACAATGTAAGCTTAAACTGTTCAGCCGTGATATTAAAATATGTTCTGCTGCGGCATTTCTGCTATTAGCGTAATTATAGAAACTCAATGGCGCTTTAACTACTACCCTTGTTACTAGCTCACGAAATAATAAATATGTTACCGCTAATTTGTGAGGAAGATTTTGAAATAATAATATTGATCTTCAGGTAGGTAATACAATGGCAAAAAACTTTTTTTAAATAGAACCCACATTAAACTTTAAAAAAAGTAATAAATAATACCTATCTCTAAAACGCATTCAAGTAAATGCTATCTAAGTCGGGCAGAGGTTTTGTCTATGTTTATTAATGAAAGCATAATTTGTTTTATTTTAGAAGGAAAACTACTGATTCGATTTCGATAAAATTTAAATGGGACTACCGCAGTCCAATAAAAATGTGCTTGCGAATAAAAAGTATTTTGAAAATCGGTGAACATACATAAAAATAAAAAAAAAACAAACAAACTTCAAAATATACTAATAAAGAGAAACGAATAAAAGAGAGAAATTATACTATAAATTTTTATCTTCAATAAAATCAAAATACAAAATGTGGATGCACCCACAATTTTTCTGAGGTCATAGTTCATAGTTAATAGGGATGATAACTGGATAAAAAAAATGCAATTCTATTTAGTCCGTCAGTCAGATAATAGAAAAATATTAGATACGTGTTTTTTTTTTACTTCAATTTAACAAGAAATAGCTTAGATAACAGGCATTTAAGTTGAGGAGTGGGGGCTCGCTACGTCACAGTTGAGTAGAAAACGTACTCTAACGTGACGTCATGCGAAATTTCAACTCAATATAACGCCGTAATTTTATGATTACGAGAAAAATAAAAAAAATACGTATTGACTATTTTTTAACACTCTACCTGACGGACAAACAAACAAAAATTAGTCATGCATGAGTCATATAATAAAACCGAATATTATATTACTGTTACGTTACGTATTAAGATGTCGCATATGGCTAGAGTAGCTCGGCTGGCGTAGTGGATAAGCGCCGCGGCCCGCGATCGTTGACGTTAAGCAACTTTCGCAAGGGTCGGTCACGGGATGGGTGACCGAAAAATTATTATCTCGAGCTACTCCGTGCTTCGGAAGGCACGTTAAGCCGTTGGTCCCGGCTGCATTTGCAATCGTTAATACCCTCCAATCCGTATTGGGCTAACGTGGAGGGTCTTGGCCCATCCTCCTTAACCATCCATAAGGAAGGCCTAAGGCTGATGATGATGATGATATGGCTAGAATCTTGGTAGCAAAGATAGTTTTTATCAATGATTTTTTTTATTCTTTTAATGTTAATTTATTTTTAATATATCCAATCAAACATTTTTGTTTATGTTTCTTTTCGAAATAGCTTTGTTTGTTTCTACATTTTGTAAATTTAATCTAACTTTAATGATACAGTTAACTAAAACATTTTCAATTATATAAATAATAGAACGAGAACGTTGTACGAGTACAAGAATATTAACATATTCATTGATAGAATAGAACATTCTTTGCATTGACAACGCTATACTGAAAAATGTCTTAAATGATTTCTTTCATTGAAAATATTATTTATTATTGTAGATCATCATCATCATCACCAGCCCTTTTACGTCCCCACTGCAGGGGCTCAGGCCTTCCTTATAGATGGTTAAGGAGGATGGGCCAAGACCCTCCACGCTGGCCCAATGCGGATTGGAGGGTATTAACGACTACAAATGCAGCCGGGACCAACGGCTTAACGTGCCTTCCGAAGCACAGAGTAGCTCGAGATAATAATTTTTCGGTCACCCATCCCGTGACCGACCCTTGCGAAAGTTGCTTAACGATAACGATCGCGAGCCGCGGCGCTTATCCACTACGCCACCGAGCTACACTTTATTGTAGATAATCGAATGTAACTTGATACTCTAGTTTATTATATACGAAAATTTATTTTAAAATTCCGATTATATGACATATATAATATGCTGATAATTAATTTTTTTCAGATACGCAACCTTGTCAGCGCGTGTATTTTTTTTTAGTTGTCGCAAAAATTATTTATAAACAAAGCCCGCTTTCAATGAATTAAGAATAGATGAGAGAAATTTTTAAACGTAATATGTATCTACTAACTTTTGCCCGTGACTTCGTCCGCGTGATAAAGTTACTTTGAGCAGCATTTATAACGAATATTAATTTATTCGTTCCATTAGGTACTGATAGGTTCAAACTAATACATTTACATCCCCCATCATCCTTTATTTTATGTCAATGTGGGATGAATTTATCAAAATCTTATTTAAGCGGACGTCTTCATCATAGTAGCTTTATACAAACGATGAAGACGAAGATTTATGCAAACTTTCATCCCCTATTTATCCACATAGGGATGGGATTAATCAAAATCCTTTCTTAGCTTACGTCATAGTAGCTTTAGGCATACAAAGTCTCAGCCCGATCGGTTTAAAATTGACAAAGTTTCATACTAAAATTCATCCCCAATTTTATATCTTATATTTTAGGTAGATTTGATCAATATCCTTTCTTTGCAGCCTACGTCATAACATCTACCTGCATGCCAAATTTCAGCCCGATCCGTCCAGTGGTTTGGGCTGTGCGTTGATAGATCACTATGTCAGTCAGGCACCTTTGAGTTATATATATATAGATTAAGTTTTATTCTATCTCTTCTTTTATCTGTCACCACTGACGTGAGAAAGACATTGCACTTAAAATTTAAATAAAAAAAATGGTTATATGGCTTAGTATGTATGTAATAATATATTTTAAACATATAAGTTTGTAATAAATAAATAAAAAGATGTTATTAGCTTTAAGCATGCGGAGATATGCTATAAGTGTCTGTTACAATAAGTCAGAGAAAAAAGAATATATGTTATCTAGTATATTTCATTGTAAATAGATGTTGGTGACTCAAAAAAAAAGAATATTGGGCTTTAGGTAGTCAGAGTAATGGCAAAATAAGGTATCTTAGTACTCATTGGATAGTAATCAAAGGATTGGTCTGCTGATAGATATACTACCTTATTTACGAGGCCGCTTAATAATATAAAAGTTTCATTTTGCAATAAAGTACATAATATATGGAAAGCAAACACGTAGTAACCTGCAAAACCACAATGGATATTTATAGTGGAAAATCTTTAATATTTCTCAAAAAAAAAATCCGTATAAAGTGAAGCAGGAACCTTATTTATTACATGGACGTTTTTAATAATTAATGTTCTGCTCTGAAGAACAATTTTGGGTTTGCGGGTTACTACGTGTTTAATTTCCAGCGTCGTGGGAGCCACCCTTGAATGAATTCGTGTTTTCTTGGCTTTTTTTTATAGATAATGGAAAGGAAACCTTCGTGCGCGAGTCCGACTCACAATTGACCGGTTTTATTTTAATATAAATCGGAAACAGTTTGGTTCTTGTACGTTTATTATGGTCTCCATTTTTGATGAGGCATAGCGAACTTAACTAACACATAACACGGGCCCAGTGTGGCTGCAGACATTGAGACTGTGTGCAGTACGGAGTAATACATAGAAAAAAAAACGGTCACCCATCCCATATTCGGCCACTGCTAACGTTGCTTAACATTTGTAATCGCTGGTCGAACGCGCTTAACACACTATCGAATTCTTCTTTATAACAGTAGGTTATTATTGCAATAGCTTAGAGATTAGGTATAATTATTATATTGCCTACTTTGTGGCGCCACATGACTCCGTTAAGAAGGTCACAACACAACGCTATTTAGACATAAATTGTTATGTTAAATATTTTAATTACTATTTAGAGACACCATTGTTTACCGCATAAATATCAAATTTATTTATAAGAGAAACCAGAGCAGCACGGTATGCCACATTTTATAAGCGGAGACGAAAGCGATTTTTAACCTACTTCAAAATCGAAAAGGAAGAAGGTTATATTTTAGACGGTGAGGTATTTGTTTTTTAATATACGTTCACCGATTTTTCCGCGAATTGAAAGGAAGGAAACTCCTTTATTGACTCGCGTACTTATGATAATAATACAAAAAAAAAAACAAAACAAACATTACTTAAGAAGAAATGGAGAAGAAAATAAATAAGTGACATTTGGGTAAATCGGGAGGCCAATACTACTAAATAAATTTTGTTTAAATCGAATCGAAAACGGTTCGAAACCGAACGAAACTACAGTTTTTAATGGTTTTTCTATTCTACTAAGTGACATACGATACAATTCCAGCTAAAATAGAACGGTTTTCGATTCGATTTAAACATAATTTATTTAGTAGAATTGGCATTTCTTGGCAAAGGACGAAACAACCCCAATATTTTAACAGGGCCTGCTGATGTATGACGTGTAACTAAAGAAATAGGTACAAATACAAAACCATTATCATAATAAAATAAACTGAACTGTCGGCAACCCGACCAAAAGTTTTGTTATTTTTTGGTAGTGGCAACACTACCTTTTTCATTATGTCTTCTCAACTCTGCTACGATTACGGTGTGTTGTACATTTTGGCGTTGATAGAAATAAAAGTAATTTTCACAAGTAAATGGTGTTTATTCGTGCATGAACCAACCCAACAAGTACGCTACAGAACTGATATACAAATATTTTATAAATATATTTAACCAAATAAATAATAAAACATATAGGGAGACACAGTTTTTTTTTATTCAGATAATAGGCTGTATGTGCGGAATTCGCTTCAAATGTCATCATGACATGACGCCAGCTTTTTTCTTGATCGATTGTTGATCGATTTTCAAAATTCTTTTTTTTATTCGACAGCTTTTGAGTCGAGTTGCTCCCGTATAATTTTTCTTCAATAATTAATACACAAACCGTGTGACGCCAAAAGAAGAAAAAAAAAAAAAAAACATTATTTCTCACTATTTAAAAAAATAAGGATTTTTTTATAAGGAATTTTTTGTTTTAATTTTCATGTGATTTTTTTTCAATTGCACCGTAAAATTAAAAACCGGCCAAAAAGCGAGTCGATCTCTAGTACGAAGAGTTCCGTATCATTACACAAAAAAATCACGTCTATTCTATTGGAGTCCCCCTTAAATTTTTATTTTATTCTATTGTTATAGGGGCAAGAGAATTACATCATCTGTGAAAATTTCAAATGTAACTATCACAATTCATGAGATACGGTCTAATTTTAATTTTTATTCTATCTCTAATTTTAAAAGAAAAAATAAAATGCGAGTGACATTGTAGCCGTAGATACTGGACCAATTTAAAAAAAAATCACCTTCGGGAAGCTACATACGCGGGTAAATAGGCTACAATTAATTTATTGACTGGTGATAATATCCTTAACATGAAATGTAATTTAATTTTCTATTTCATATAATATTTGTTATGTTTGTTTTCAACAATCTTACACAAATTGACTTATTTATTGACCGGTAAATAATCGATTTGTAAATGTTATCTTAGGAAATAAATATTATCATTATTATTTTAATGGCATAAATTGAGTATTCCATAATTCAATAGCACAACTATCTTCTGTCATTTTGATATTTTTGCTCTGTGATTTAATTGTATATGTATGTGACTTTCTTTTTTATTTCTAACGTGCAACACGTGTAATTAAGATTGAAATAATATCTTTAAAAATGTGTGAACTGTATTTAAACAAATACTACTAGTGATAACAAATAAATAAATAATTTACGCGGGAAAACAACTAGATCATATTATATTTATTGTTAATGATTTAATTTTAAACGACATCACAAGCTCTAATTTCCGTTAACTTGCACCACACGTAATAAAAATGAACAATACAACTTGATAACTTAATCGTCAACTTAACTCATTGCCAAGGTCAAGACGTGTAATGGCAAACTAACACACATATACACTAATATTATAAAGAGGAAATATTTGATTGTTTATTTGTTTGTTTGCAACGAATAGACCCCGACCTACTGGACCTTCTTTAAAAATTCTTTTACCTACTTTTATCTACAACATTCGCAGGTTATATGGCTGTACGCATGCCAAGTCGCGGGTACACAGCTAGTGTAATTAAAGTATATACTCGGGTTTATAAGCACATTTTTGTTGCTCTTTTAATAGAGTATGTACTAATTTCAAACAGTACAATGTTATTATAATACCGCAATCGTGGAAAATACATCGGTTCATAAGAAAAAATAACTTTAAGAAAAATAAATCAGTTTATAGAAAATATTCAACACGTATATTTTTTTTTGCCTAATCATTATAAAACGGCGACATATTAAGTTAAAATGTCACATAACGTTACGGTTTTGTACTATTTCTACAAAACTGTGACGTAGCGAGCCCCCACTACCTCAACTTTAATGCCTGTTATCTAAGCTATTTCTTGTTCAATTGAAGTAAAAATAATACGTATCTAATATTCTTCTATTATCTTACTGACGGATTAAATAAAATTGCCGTCAAGCTATTAGACAATTTGACTATTGATGTGCGGGATATCGAGAATCGTGTAAGGATACATTGTTCATATGTCATAAGTAGTAGTAGTAGTATTATAATTCGTTCATGGGACAGGCGAAGGAACTAATCCATACAGCCAAATCTTGAATTATGTGTCATAAACGAAGAGCGCGAAAATTTTTATTCGTTTTAATTCGACTCTGTTTAAAGGAAGCCAAGGGATCTAAGTGTAAAGTGCTAATATTTTTTAAATGAAACATTTTAAATTATATCATTGTGTTTTACAACGAATTATTTTTTTAAATGTGAAAGAGAGTGATTGCTAACGACATTTTTAGTGTCATTCGAGAAGAGTCTTAAGTATTAATTTAAAAAATAGAATTCGATATGAAATCTATTTTTTTATAAAGCATATTTATTAAATGGGTTTTCTATATTTGTGTTATTATTAGCAACATATAATTTCTGTTCTTTATATTATATTTCCGTAGAGATAGAATGTGTTTTGTTTTACTATAAATATTAATAATTAGGAAAGGATTTAAGTAAACTCCTATTCTTATAACAGCTAGGTTTTTCTAGAAACATTTCTGGTCAGTTCCTTTGCGATAAAAAAATAACTGTCGAAATTTAGAAATATATGAAAAGAAACATGTAGAGTTAAAATAGATATGTAGATGATGAATTATATCAGGAAGAAAGTTGATTGAATACTTTCTTCATTCGGCTTAAGACGAAAAGTTGAATGCATTTTGTGTAGTTTTACAATAAAAAAAAAATCTATGTTTTCCATGCCGTGAACAAAACAAACACAATGGATACAAGTTTTTTTTTGTTTCAAGTCAACGAGAAAGGAGTATACAAATACAACACGCAAAATTATTACGTAACAAAAACAAAATATATTTAAGAGAAAAAAGTTTCATTTGGTTCTAACATCAACATTTATTATAATAATATTAATGATAAAACAAGGCTTAAGTCGGATGATTTTTACCTCCTTTCACGGACATGGAACGAATTAAAAAAAATGCCGAATTAGGCCAGCAATTCGGATTGGAGGATATTGACTGCAAATGCGGCTGGGACCAACGGCTTAACCTGCCAAAGCTGCTCCATGCTTTAGAAGGCACGTTAAGCCGTTGATCTGAGATAATAATTTTTGGTCACCCATCCCGTGACCAACCTTTGCGAAAGTTGCTTAACAACACCGATCGCGGGCCGCGGTGCTTATCCACCGCAACGCTACTGAGCTACTCAATTTGATAATATTTATAAAGATAAAATAAGGTGTTTAAGAATCCAAGAAATTAAAACTAATTTTATAAAGATGTAAATTTTCTAACATTGTTCGTTTGTAGAGTTTTTTCAGTATTATTGATACGATTATAAAATCCCTCCACCTATGGGAAGCTAGATAATTTACAGCCTGTGTCACCCGTATAGGTGACAGACTGTAAATAACACGGGTGAAGACAAGCGGGTCGCGGGACAAGATTTATTAAAAAGTTATATTTATTTTACTAGAAAATATTGCAACTAATAACACAAATTCTAGTATCTTTTTAAATTAAAAAAAAAACTTAATTTTCCCTCCAAAAATGCACCATAGACGAAATTCTATTGTATGTCATAATTTTAGGTTCGCGCTTGACGACAGGCATCGCTTCGATAAGATCATATTTCACGGAAGTAAATTTATAAAATTTATTGCTAACACGATATTGGTAAGTATGTGACCTAAGTTATTAAACGGTGTCAAGCTGTGATATAGTTTATATATTTTGTGGAAAAAAAAAAACTAAATGTGATTTGTGTATAGTTTTTACTGCCTTTATTTGTAAGTAAAGTTATTTTTTTTTTTCTAAATAAAATTATAACACAAATGAAATCCATGGCACAATATAAGGAAAAATTGTTTTGTTTTCAAATCGTTTCAAAAAGACTAAAACCCAGTTGCATAAGTATCCATTAATATTTTAATTGGTATAAAGCGACATTGCTGATATAAATTCTTAAATTTAGAAAACATTGAAGCTTAATGTCATTATTATGGAGCTTGTCCAACTTACTGAAAATTAGTTTCTTTTTAATGTGCACTATCAAAAACTGGGTTCTTATAAGTACACTATTTATAAAAAAAATACTCACAATTGTTCCTGTCGCCAGCGAATAGTTTATGGAACCTTATGAAGTCAGGTCTCCCACCAAAGAACTTCCCATTCTGGTTCAAAACTTCTCTGATCAATTCCAAATTATTAACAACTAAGCACGGTGTATTTCCCAATTTAAGACTGAATATATCGCCATATTGTTTAGATAGCGCCGTGAACGCCTGAAACGGTGATTCGTGTTTGCCCAAAAGGTGTAAATTCCCTATTATAGGCAAAGGAATCGGCCCCGGTGCCAATTGCAAAGTCGTATTCACTTCACCCGTTTTTTTATTTACTCTTTTCAAAGTTATAGTGTTGCGGGTGAAAAATTTGTAAGCGCATAGCGCTATTACGACAGCAAGAAGGATAGCACTCATTTTTATTTTTTTATTCTTTAAAAAAAGAACTTTTAATAAAACGAGCGGGCCACCCCGTTTGACAGGAGTTTTGGCGGGAAACACGGCTAGCACTGCGCAGGACTCGGTGCGCTCATCATTTTTATACCACATTGATTTACATTTCTCGCGTTTTGCATCGCGCCCGAATGATACTGTTTCTGTTTTTACAATATCGTATCAATATCATCTTTATCATCTTCGGAATAAGAATGTTATTAAGATGTTTTGTTTATGTTCTGCATTTGATTTTAATTGAATAACTGGTGCGAATGAAAAGCGTCTCTATTGTTTAAGAAAAAAGGTTGTATATTATTTTGTTTTAGAACCGTAAGATTGAAACGGTCGGATAGCAGGGGTGATTTTATTTAAACATCGAACCTATTTGCATTTTTTCTTGTAAATATTACAGGAGCATTTATTCTTCGTCACAACTTTAAAGGGAATTCAATGAAAATGACTATAATTCGTTATTTATTACGTTAAATATAATAAATAATTTATTGGACAAGATTGTACATTAAAAAAAAAATTGTATTCTATATGGAAAGTCGTTTTTTCGACTGTCAACAGATGGCGCTGGTATTTGAAAACGAAAACTGATATGATTAGACGTTTTACAACTGAAAAAAGGAAAAAAAAAGAAAGTTGCTCCCGGATGCATTTGCAGTCGTTAATATCCTCCAATACGCATTAAACCAGCGTGTAGGTTCATGGCCAATCCTCCTTAACTATCCATAAAGAATAAGGTAGTTCTGACCCCCTGAAGAGGGGACGTTAAGAGGCTGATAATGACAAAGTAGAATGGGCACACTCTTTTCTAAAACATTAGCCATAAAAAATCTAGTAAAAGTAAAGGAAAAACACAATTAGAACTTACCTCTAAATGTAAATTTTGATATTTTAAAAGCAAAAACAAGCTTTATTTCCTTTCTTATTCAAAGCACAGCACACACGAGCCACAGTTCCTGCTAAGCCACTGTTCTTTCCCCGACTCTACATTAAACTGATGAAGCAGCTAAAATAAATTTCATAGATTAAGTATACCTAATTAAATACACATTAAACTTCTATTAAAATAACTATATCATTAAAATGACGTAATAGTAAATCAGTTTCAATAAACGAATTACAAATTACATTATAAATTAGCGCCATTACGCGTATTCAAACAATTCTTAGTGGCGTTAATTTGATTGTATAAGAACGCAAACAAGACAAGATATGACACTTTTTTGTTTTTATTTTTTAATTAATATTTCCCCTACTTATTAAGATGCCATTACATTTGGTTCTGAAATCTATTTACGTATACTAATAGCTCGGTGGCGTAGTGGATAAACGCCGCGGCCCGCGATCGTAGTCGTTAAGCAACTTTCGCAAGGGTCGGTCACGGGATGGGTGACCAAAAAATTATTATCTCGAGCTATTCCGTGCTTCGGAAGGCACGTTAAGCCGTTGGTCCCGGCTGCATTTGAGACGTTAATACCCTCCAATCCGCATTGGGCCAGCGTGGAGGGTCATGGCCCATCCTCCTTAACTATCCATAAGGAATGCCTGAGCCCCTGCAGTGGGCACGTAAAAGGGCTGGTGATGAAATGAATATTTTAAAGAGGAAAGATCTGATTGTATGATGGGATAGGCTCCGAAATATACTAGACTTAAAAATTCTTTCACCTTCGGATAGCTACATCATATGCGGTAGACATAGGACATATTTTATCCCGAAAAACCACAAACAAAGACATGAAAATGGGAGTGGAAGTCCGTATAGGGAATTAAAACGTTACCATAGCAACCATTATTTACTATTCAATTTGTCTTTATAATTATATCTGTGTCATGAATCGATGTCCAAATAAATAAACAATTCGTAAAAGACCACGCCGACGAAGCCGCTAGCGGAAAGCTGATACATTTATATTCTTACTAGTGGCCGCCAGCGACTTCGTCCGCGTTTTCCATTATTTCTTCGCTCCTAATAGTTGCAGCGTGATGTTATATAGCCTAAAGCCTTCCTCGATAAATGGTCTATTCAACACTAAAAGAATTTTTCAATTCGAACCAGTAGTTCCTGAGATTAGCGCGTTCAAACAAACAAACAATCTCTTCAGCTTTATGATATTAGTATAGATTTGTACATATACTTGTACATGTTGATTTTATTTACAATTCTTAGTTACCTACTTATATACTACTTATTTAAGTTGTGATTCGTTAAGAATTGAATTAATTCAAAAGATATTATAAGCATGTGTGTATTTTTATGACATGTTGTAATTGTCTTTTTTGAATAATCTTATGTTGCTGAGCAAATATTAGGGGTTACTGAATATAAAGCATATAAACCGCTATGTTTTATTTTAAAATAGATATGGACAGGTCGAGCGAGTGAAGCGAGTCCCTTATAAGAAGAGCCTACCGTCTTCCTCGATTACATATGCTTGATATAAACCAATATAGCTTCTTATTACATAGTATTTATTATCTACACCCGTAGACAGTTAGCCTAATACATGAAGAGAAAAATGTAATGCATTATTAAAATTATTTGTTTGAAAATCGAAGTAAATTCGGCATAGAGCATAGAGTAGATGTAAACGCAACTTTTTTTTAATACCAATGAATGGCAACGAAATAAATGCTATAGGTATTACAATTTCAAATTGTTTTTCGTTCGCATAATAAGATTCCGTTTGACATCAATCGGATCGGCTGATGTTATAAATTATTCTTTTCTTGAAGACGGATTTAGAGTTTTTGATATAAAACAAATAGGTAATAGAATAAATAGAACCGACTTCATACTTAAAAAAAAAGTGAAAAATAATACTTATCTCAAAATCTCAAAGACGGTTCTACTTTTTTTAAGTTTTTCATATTTTTTTGTGATATTGTTATTTTTTATATAATAGTGTTAAAGTGCGAACCTCCATTTTTTATCGGTTAATACACATAAAACTTTCTCCTAACTTTGACAAATACTACGCTGAAAACCGCATCAAACGCGAGATAATCGCGCACAAAATACATACACACAGGTTAAACTGAGAACCTTCTTTTTTGATGCCGGTTAAAAAGAAAAGAACTATATTGACTTCTAAAAATCTTTTCTGATAGTTATACGTATGTCGTGGCCATATCGTAAAATTGACCAATTCATAATGTGACCGGCTATTTAATGAAATGGTCGTATTTTATGAAATGTAAATAATTTGCTGCCCACGACATGATGTGGCCTGGCCAGATCAATGAATAATTTGCTTTTTACGATATTGGCGGCTAATAATAGGAGCTCGGTGGCGTAGTGGAAAAGCGCCGCGGCCCGCGATCGTAGTCGTTAAGCAACTTTCGCAAGGGTCGGTCACGGGATGGGTGACCAAAAAATTATTATCTCGAGCTACTCCGTGCTTCGGAAGGCACGTTAAGCCGTTGGTCCCGGCTGCATTTGCAGTCGTCAATACCCTCCAACCCACATTGGGCCAGCGTGGAGGGTCATGGCCCATCCTCCTTAACCATCCATAAGGAAGGCCTGAGCCCCTGCAGTGGGGACGTAAAAGGGCTGGTTGTGGTAAAATAGTTACATTAGCCTCAGTAAGAGGCGCTGATGTCGCATTGTTTATGTGATAGGTACGTGATGTATTTTAATTTTTAGGTTATAAAACAAATTGAAGAAAGTAGGGTGACCAAGCAATGGAAAGCAATTACTTCACTTCGTTTAGTGAGGTAAATGTAGGAGTGTAGTACGAAGGTGCGGTGGCATAGGCTATTCTATAGTTTTATAAATATGTCGTAAAATTATGACAAAGACAGTGTCTTGATCTAACTCCAGAGGATGATAAAGATATATTGGAGGATTATTTTTTTTATTTCCAAAATACTATCTCATGAAATAGATTGCCCTCAACTGCTTGAGAAAATTAAACCGCGAGTACCCTTTAGATATCCTCGCAACAGAGTCACTCCACTAAGAGTTCCACTGCGTAGAACTGTTCTCGGTTCTAATTCGCCAATATGTAGGATATGTAAATTGGTAAATAAATATAGTAACCCAATAGATATTTATCACGACTCACTTTCAAAGATCCGTAGGACTCTTTTGGAACTGTGGAGTTAATTTTTTTTTAACATACGTATAATAGTCTGATCTTGTTTTTCTTTTTCAAATAATTAATTGGTATAAATAATAAAGTAACTTCCTTACTCATAGTCTAGTGTAAAAGTGTAGTTTCTTACTTACTCTATGTTCTAGCGCATGTTGTGTTTACCTATAAGTGTTTGTGACAATTAGTTATTTAACATAAAATTTATTGTAACTAGAATGTATGTAATATTGAACACAAACGTTGGTAAACCTTAAATAAATAAATATAAAAGTTTTTTGAGATATGAACATCCCAGCGATTCTTTAAAAATCCAGACCCGAAATCAAATTCACTCATGTGTCATCCACGTCACTTAGTGTAGATATTCTGTTGATTCTATTTTTTTATATAAAAATACAAAACAAATTTGATTGAATATACGTGGTCGCAGATATTCTATCTAGGGATAGATGCTATAGGTAGCATTTCGGAACTCACTTGCCATGAAACGCAAGTATTCAAGATTGAGCGGTTTTTAAAGTGATGAAGACAGAGTTGTAGGGCTGAACTAAATTTCCTATATGATTCACTACTGTAGGTCACGTGATAGGTTAGAAATTTAAGACGATCGCGGGGAAGCCCCTGTCATTCTATCGACAAGACTTGTATTATTTTTTTGGGTACTGACACGATATCTGGATGTTATATAATCTAAACTTATTACTTATTTGTGTGTTGAAGCGTACTTAATAACTTAAGTTAAAAATCTACTTACTACTTCTCTACTAAATCACTTGCAAACCTGATATACTTACTTCATCTACCTTCCTCTCTGTTTGACTATCTCGGGGTCCAACCAGACTGGGGAATTTATGTGGATAAATAGTTAAATCTGTACCATAATCCGATGGCAAATCGGGAAATTTTAGTTTGTAGAAGGCAACAATATAAATCCGTCTTGATACTTGTATATTAAAATTATCAAAAAATATT